AATTGAGGGAGGGAGGGAGGAAGGATGAGAGGGAGGGATTGGGCTAGGCTGGGCTGGGCTAAGAACGTTACGGTTACGTTCTTAAAGTGTTGTGGGTGGTGTGATGGTGCAAAAGTGTACAGTATAAAGAATGGATTAACAGTTGAGAAGACACATACACAAAAAGGGTATAAACAAACTAAGCCGGTTGGTTTCACTGCTGACTTTATCCATTCCTGTAACATTTTTAAAAGTGTGTATTGGTGTATTATGATGCAGTGCGTAGTGCATATAATAATAAATTAATATTTTATATTTCAGACTAGTCTGAATAACCCAAAACTCAGAACAATTATGGTTGCCCCACATGATACGGGTGATCTAGTCAGATCTCTTGTGCGTATTCCGGATAGTGGTGGCCCAAAGAACTCATCGGTCGACACAATCCCTCTCAACCTTGGAGGGGTATCTACTCTGGTCGCCTCTAGGCCTGTGATAACAACGACTATACCACCCTTTCTCAATAAATCCAAGACCTCTGAGGTAAACCAGAATAGTGTCCCAAATAAGCTGGAGTAGATGCTACGGGAATACAGAACGAGGTCCTCAAATTCTGCCAGAATATAGGTAGTGCTACTGCGTCGTCTACCACAGCCTCCCATAAGCGATCACTTCCGGACTCTGAGGAAAGTGCTGGCTTAGAACCGGTGTATAAGAAAATTTGCATAACTCAACTGGTGGCTGTTACAGTTCCTCAATATATTGACTATGCCACCACTACTATAAAAGTACTTAAGGAGGTGGTAAACACCCTGAGGAGGCAAGTGCATCTGTTTCAAATGCTATTCAAGAACAAGGATCGCTTGATTAATGTTGTCAAGCGATTAGGGATTAAGTGCACAAAATAAATTCTTGGATAGGGGTATCATAGGGGTATCTCCTCCCTCAAGACTATTCAATACTATGCCTTATGCTCTAATGTAATATCCAAATCTTATAATCCAATAAATAATAATTGCAAATTTCATTGGTATCATTAAACCTAATAAAAGAAACTTAAAAAATGAGAATACCAAAAAAATAATACAATACAGAATTTTTAATAAAAATAATCACAATTTTACATAATAAAATCACAACTCAGTTCATCATCAGAAAATTTTATATTTGTTATATTTTTCATAATAAAAGAATGAGTAAAAAATTTAAAATACTGTCTATTAATATCAGAATATTTTTTTAATACAAAACCTAACTTTAGAAGGACACGTTTTTTTTTTTCAAATTGAAATGTGTCGGCGAATACCGCCTCAATAAGAGAAGACTCAACATCTTCTGGAAATGTAACTGTGATTTTGTTGTTGTTGATGCCAATGGTATTGGTAGACAGTGAAAAACGAACAAAATGAGTTCCATTTTCATGGGTCCATGAAGATGTAGTTATTTTAATATTATATGTAGTATCAGTGTCAAGATATATAGGATTTTTTGATATATTTAAAGATTGCTCTATAGTAGAAACGATACTAATGAGATCGCTGAACCAACGATCATGTCCTAATGACAATTCCCCGATTTTATTTTCAATAAAACTATTGATATGAGGATATTGCTTTACTGGGAAATTAGTCTTCAACATTTTTCTAATTGACGTCACTTTGTTTTCCAATTGACATTTTTCTTGAAATTGTCTCCAGGAATAATAAAAAATTGGGTATCGGTGGTGGATTTTGAAAATAACCTTTGGTAAAAAAGTTTAATGTTGTTCAATGCCATTTTGCTATTGGCAATTTTTTTACTCCATATTAAATATTTCGCTTTGCTAGTGTCATCATTGTCAATTGTGATTTTGGCAGATATCAAAAATTGCATAATCGACATAATATCAACTTCTCTGAAGTATGAACCACAATACACCATTATTAATTTAGAGTTCCTTATAATATTATGCATCAACTCCAATGTATGGGAAGATACTGGTGTATAACACCCTTTTGTTTCCACTCGCAAAAAGGAACAAATAATTGATCATTTTCTGTAAAGGGAACAAATAGAAATCTATTGGGAGTGTGAATTATTGAATTGTCATCATGTGCATAATCAATATATATTGCCGTATTTTCTATAGTAAAAGGCGTCTCATTATTGGAATAGGGCACTATTATTGATGATACGGCTATAGTTGCTGTGGTTAAAGAGGTTAATGCTTTTACAGAGGCATGCAGACGAGATTTTAGCTTGAGTCTTTCTTCAGGACTAATAAAGGTTACAAGAACACATTCTTTGAGTTTTTGAATATTCTCCTCCTTAGTTTCTGTTGTTGGTTCAACCTCTTTTTCTTTTCTTATAGTACCTCTATTCTGTGGCCCTGTAATAATATTAAAAGATCCTAAGATATTATTGATGCGTTGAAAATCAAATCTCTTCAAAAGATTGATTTCTCTACAGTTATCTCTGTCACCACTAGGATCCATTAGAGTAATATTAGAGTTTGAGGGTTTACTAAATTCCATTGCCGATTGACTCTGGCTTATGGGAGCATGCATCTTATGAAGTACCTCTTCGTCTGACGGGGACTTTTTTTGTCTAGTCTCAATATTATTAATTAGATTACATATTACATCAAGGTTGTAAAGTTCATAATTTTTGTCGTCAAAATTCTCATACCAACTAATTCGTTCATATTGTTTGAGAAAATTGTCAATTGTTGTTAATTCCATTATAGTATGTTAATTATTAGTAATAGTTGCGTTGTTTTACTCTTTACACTTTAAAAAAAATTATGCATTTTAAAAGTAAAAGCGAGATTGAAGTGTATAAACAAATTATTAAAGAATTGAATAAACAAACCAACAAACTACCAATCATAGAGGTTAATAGGCGCGGTTTATTTAATTATAATAAGCGTTTCGAAATTGAATTATATTTCCCTGAAATATTTTTAGGTATAGAAATTCAAGGACCAACACATTTTACTGATATTACACAAATTAATCGTGATTTAAAAAAAAAAAGAGTTAGCAGAACAAATTAATCTTAAAATTCTTTACATACGTTTAAATAAACAAAAGGGGAATGATATACGGAATTGTATTAAATATATTTTAACAAAATGGAATAAAAAAAAAGAAAGTTAAAGTTATAAGAAAGTTTATATATTATTCGATAAAAAAATAATGACAGCGGCAACATGCAGCAATCCACAAAACATAATTTAATATACTATGAGAATTTTTATTGTGGCAATGGAATATTAGATTTAGCAGATTCGTATATTAAACCACTAATGGGGTATGTATAGGATTATTTTGGTAAGGATTTTGAAAATCCGAAACGGCCAAATATTCAAACACAGGTAAAGCTTTGGAGGTATTCACTTTTGAATGACAATTCATCTATTAATTCAGATATTGACGAATCGATTATCGATGTTATAATTATTAAAAAACAACAGTTGTTATAAATGTGGAAAAAAATGCGAAAACTTGCTGATGAATTAATAGAAACCCATCATTATTGTGATGAATGTATAACATAAAAAAAATAAAAAAATGAGTAGCAAGATATTTTATAGTAATTATCCTGAAACTTTTTCTATTATCGTTGAACAGAAATATCTTCTAATTACATATACATCATCTGTTTACCCTATAAATGATTTTAAACAGAAAGATTACTTTGATACCCTATGTTTAGAAGATATTGAAAAACGAATATATTCCCTTTTTCAATATCACATTATATGGTATATAGATATTCAGACATTAATATGTCCCATAAAATTTCAATCACTTTTGTCTATTAGTAGCAAAATTTTTTTCCGGTTCAGTACAAATCCTAAACCTCTCCCATTTCCCAGTAAAGAAAAATGTGTATTGCTTATGTTAAAAAATTTTTTCCGTCAATCAGTTCTCTTACAACAACTAATTCCTCAATTTATTATTTTTTGTAGAAATAATACTTGTTGTGTTATAGACGATAAACAAATTTGGGAACAATCAAATTTACCTATGTTAGAGAAAAAATCAATTCTGTCACCTCCTTTGAGTATATTTGATGTGCGTCTCGTTGACATTCTTCACTAAGCAACACACAGCAAGCGAGCTAAGAAGCCCGCCCATAAGTGTATATTTGGTTGACCTTATAATATCCTATTATACAATAAACAATGGAGAAGCCACATACTGTTGATGAACAGGAAGAAGAACAGGAAGATTATCATCAGCTGGATAGGTATGATTTTCAGCATTTTTTTTTACAACAACAGCAGCAACAGCAGCAACTGCAGTATCAGCAGCAATTGTTTCAGGATGAAGAGGAAAAGAAACGACAAGAACAAGAGGAGGAAAAAAAACGACAAGAACAAGAACAAGAGGAGGAAAAGAAACGACAAGAACAAGAAGAAGAGGAGAAGGAAAAGGAAAAGCAAAAACAGCAACAGCAGCAGACTGAGAAATACAAATTAATTGAAGAAGGTAGAAATTTCCCTCCCCATCAACCTCCTCCTCCCTATCAACTACCCCCCCTCCATATCAGCCTTATTCCCAAGTTTTGTCAATATTGTGGGATGTCCATAAAAATGGATTTCCTAGTTTTGTTTCTCATCTTGAAGAGGTATTTAATGCACCTTTACTTCAAGATACATATTTAAATTTATGTTTAACCTATCTGCGTTATCCAGGATTAAATTATCATAAACTTAGAGAATTTAACATTTTGTCTTACAACAGTTTTGGTGAATATATTTATGGACATCCAACTAAGAAATTTGATAACATGGGTAATAGGATTTATAAAGTTGGTTCTGTTGTGAAAATGAATAAACAGCCTGGTATGGCTAGTATTATTGCATCTATGACTAAAAACAAAAAAATTACTCGTGTGAGATGTTGTGAATGTATACTTCAGGAGTATGTAATTGCCTCAAATCATTTACAATACATCAAAAACTATTAATTTTTATATGGTAAAATATAACAAAGGCTTTCTTCCAATTTTTTAATTATTATTACAGTTGTTAAATAAAATTATAAAACAAAAATGTAGTTTTTTCCATACATACTTTAACATTTGGTATTGGAGTCTGTACAATCTATCAACTAAGAGAGAATTGCCTTATCTGGACCTGGTGTATTGGGCCTAATTGTACCACCCGTGCCCGTGGTGATGTAGTAGCCGTAGCCATCTGTAGCATCGACAGGTACAGATACACTAGTAGCGGCATTAATTTGTTCAAAAATAGAATCTCCACACAGGGGTAGATAATTAGAGGAGTTATTTTCGGCAAGAACCTTTTTTTTCCTCTTTTCTCTTAATTTTTCATAAAATTTCAAGTTGGGGGGTGAATCATTTACAGCATCATCACCACCAATATCCGAGTCAGCAACAGCACCACAAGTATCAGAGCTCTGTTCAGCAGCAGTATCATTATCACCAGTTCCTGAGTCAGCAACAGCACCACCCTCAGAGCTCTGTTCAGCAGCAGCAGCAGCAGCACCAGTGTCTGAGTACGCAACATCACCACCAGTGTCAGAGCTCTGTTCAACAGTAGTAACAGAAGTAGTGTCAGCAGCTATTTCTGTAGGGGGCAGTTGAAGAGGAATGGCATCCTTTTTCTTAAATTGATTCTCCTCCATGTTACCTGAAAATTAAGTTCGTTCATTTATTATACTGTCTGTAAACAAACTTTAATAATACATTTGAGCGAGCTTAATTTACAAATCAAACTTATATTATTCTACTAACCACTACAATATTACACCACACTACCACGGAGCAGGGCTTTTATGTGTAAAGTGGTGGTGGGATGGACCTTATTTATACTAAAGCCACTATCACCACACCGGAACTGGGTTGGTGGTTGGTTAATTATAATACTACGAGCAGACAATTTTCAATACTTTTTAATTTATAAAAAATATTTAAAAAATAACTATATAATGGTTAAGCATACTACCCTCATAAGCAATAAAAATATCAATACTACCACCACAACTATGCTGAATAACACATTACCATTTTCCCTTCCAGAAATAAGTTTTGTTGCAAGAAAGGACTCCTCGGATTCTACTCTAATTCGTGAACGATTAAAAAAACAGAAAGGAAAAAAATGTTCTTTTTCGTTAGGAAATGAAATTAAACATTTAGGCTCCGGTGCCTATGGTAAAGTAAAGAGTGTAGCAGTTCCCATGAAAGAAATTTTAGATCCGCATCTTCCAAGAAAATGGAAAAAATTCCGGCGCTATTATCCCTGGACAACTGTATTTTTAAAGAAAAACCCTGAACTAACTAAACAATTTCGGGGAACTCATTTAGTTGCAAGAAAATATTTCTACGATGAAAAAGATCAGTTAAGTGAATTATATAATGTTAGTCGACTATCATCGGTTTTACGCAAAGAAACATTCGTTCAAATGTATGGTGCAATTAAAAACCATAGCATATCCAAAGTATTACATAATCCCAGCGGTGAAATAATAAGCGAAAAAAGTTCTCCATATGTTCCTTTGAGTGTTAATGAAATAAAGTATAAAACAAGATTCACTAATGACACACACTTAAGTTTTATAGACATGGAGTATTTACACCCTCCTGATTGGGTCATTTTAAAAAAGGCAGTGAAAACCTATTCTCTTATGTATAAACGTAAGCAGTTTTTAAATCAAGTCACTAGAGAATTAATTCGTATTCAATTACAAATTGCTCGAGATTGTTTGGGTGGTACATATTACGATATACATCCTTATAATGTGTTCATTAACTTATCTTCAACGCCATTGAAGGTAAAGTTCATTGATTTTGGGGGATTGTATATTCCTTCAGAAAAAGCATTTATTCTTCCTCCCAAAACTCCTTTAAGGAGACAAAAAAAACAAAAAAGAGACGACTTTTCACAATTTCCACCAACATTAACTATACCCAATAAAATAATGAAAACCTGAAGCACTATACTACCACTACCACCACCATCACCACCATCACCGTTATCACAACCTCCATCTCTACCAAAAATTATTAATGTAATGCCGACTAGTTCTTACGTAGAGGATAATTTATCTGACCCATTTAACTATACCATTAAGGGGAGTGAGAAAATAAAGACTTATTACTCTAATAAATATTTCGTTATACCTTTTAATAGAAAAATAAAGAGACAACAAACTAATAAACGTAAAAGGCTGTCAAGAGAAAATGTGCTTATTTATCCCGCATTTTATGGTATAGTAACAGTAAAAGATATTACTTCTAATAATACAAAATTATTCAACGATGAATCTTCTGAAATTTATACAACCTGTGTCAATAATACACCAACCACCGATATACCCACTAGAAGAAAATGGTATAATATGTTACTGCAGATAATTAGAGCTTATAATAAAGAGAATATTGCCGACAATCAACAACAACGTTTATCTCTATCAATGCTATTTAAAGATCTCCAGAAACAAGAAAATATTATAGAATTCTTAAATAAGAATTCTAAAATTATAGATACTTTGAAACTCTAAGGTTTGTTTCTGTAAATATTCATGAGATTATATGTGCGCACAGCCCACATCTCTGAGACAACCACCAAGATTTTAACGTAAAAATTTATCTCGGGAATCAAAAAATATAGTAGGATACACATTTATTTACAAATCAATTTTACACTTGGATAAGAAAATAATTTTCAAAATACATTCAAATAAATATTTTTCTGGTATCAGCTAAAATATTATTTATGTTTGGATATTCTTGATGTTTTTTTAAAATATTAACCAATTTCATTCCCACAATATCTACATTTTCATGATTTAGTATTTCAACTGTAGTAGAATTTGAAGATAACCATTTTCCATGACATTCGTGTAAATTATTTAAATATAATAATGATATATTTTGTTAGCCCTTTCTTTGTCTTTTTACTATTCGTTGAAAACAAATTTAGGGTTGACATTTCAAATAAAAATTTAAGTTTGAATGGCAATATGGTTTTAGGAGTTTATAGGCGTGTTCGTAAATTGTCTTTTCTGTATCAGATATTTTTTCTTCTCGATTTAACGAGTCGACAAAACACAATCCACTATGTGCTGATCTTTCCATTATAATAATACGTTTCATATTTTTCATATGCATATTAAAATACGTCGGTATAAATGAAATTAAAATCATAAATTGAAAACTGGAAGCCCACTTTTTAGAATCTTCATACATTAAATTTTAAAAATTTCCCCAAACTCCAAGAGGTTCAGAAACAAATTCAAAATATGTAGGAGAAAGTTTTTCCTTTAAATAGGAAATCAAAGTTGATTTTCCACTTCCAATGTTTCCTTCTATGTTGATTATAAACGGTTGGGACGAATCCATCTTTTTTAATAAACATGCCATGCATGAAAATGCCTACAATGGGAAAAAAAGAAACGTGGTAAGTAACTTAAATTCTTTCAAAATTATTTTTTTTATATATTATGGTTGGTTAAAAAAAATACAAGCTACTTATGCATCACCCCTCAATTTATAATGTCAGAGAGAGAAAGTATTTTCAAGTTTATCTTTAAAGAAACTAGATTGTTAAAACCCGCAGGGCATGATTATTTACATTTAAAACAAGTATTTGAGGATTGGATGAATCATGAGACTCAAAAATTTTTCAGAAATATGAAAAAAGAAATACATTAAAACGGGTCCGGAACAGATTATTTCCTATAAATAATGAGAAGGTAAAAGATTATCTTTACTCCAATGGATTCGGGATTGAATTTTTTTTAAAGATATATTTAATATAGCGTATTATAAACTCATTTTTCCGCCAAAATGGAGTGTCATTGAAAATTCTCTTAATTGTAGTAATTATATAATTTGTGATCCATTATATACTCCTAAAATAAGTATTTATTTAGGGAGATTAGTATTTGATTGTTATCCGTTCAGAGAAAATTGTCTTTATGGAAAATCATTCATAATCTCCACCCCTCTTGAATATTCTATAAATAAGGAAAAAGAAATCTATAAGACAACGAGTTTATTACCTATCTTGGAAACACTTTGTAAATCCACAATTATCTCATACAAAAACGGCGCTTACAAAAATATTATCAGTCTACAAAATATACCACTAATTATTTACAAGGGAATAGTAGATGTGATGTTAGAGAGAGAACTTGAATTTTCTTCTATTGAATTTTATTCTCTTTATTCAATACACCCCCATGAACTTTCATCGTGGAAAGAATGTTCAATCTGTTTAGAAGATATAAGATCTTCGTCCGGTATCGAACGAGCTATAAGAGATATATTAAAAAGGCAAAGAAATAAGAAATATATTAATCTCTTAATAAAACAAAAAACTTTTGTTATAGACGATATAAAAGTTTTTAAATTTCTCGAGGAGAATGGTTTTCGTATACCGTATATAAAAATGAGAGGGATTGGGGTATTAATGAAGAAGAAGGAATTATATTTCAAACTGTAGTTTTCCCAATGGGCTGGATTTTTCGAAAAAATCCTTTAAAATATAATAGTTATATTATATATAACCCGCAAAAAGAGGCCATTGTTGAGTTTTTTTTTTAAATAAATAACTCTCTTAATATCTGTGGATATAGTTCTCGATTAATGACGCAATATGAAATAAAAAGGTTGATTAGTGCCCATTATTCTCCTGTAGTATTGTATAATTCTGTTCATTTACAATATATATCAAATTTTATGAAAATTATTAATTTAAAAAATCATGCAGCACTATATTCTTTAAGTCAAATAAAACTTGCCAAAAAGAAATTTCTTATCTGAAGGGAGAGATTGATTTGGGTAAGTATATATAGCAATGTTTAATGAGCTTTGTTCCACTAAGAAAATGCATGAGGAAAGTCGTCGTCTGAACAAAATCTCCAGTCTTCCCTTCTGACAAACAAAGTGGAGGAGGATAAAACTGTAAAGGAGAAAATACAAATAGAGAATGAGGAGGAGGAAGATGATGAGGAAGAGGAAGATGAGAAAAAAAAGGAGGAGATAGAGAGAGTAGAATATAAGCTAAAATAATAACTGGTCGTTCAGTAGTATATTATAAAAACCAAACTTTATATTGTACACACAAAATATTATGTAAAAAACTTAAAGTATTTGCATTTTTCGAGGATCTTATCCTCACCCCATAATATCTAAAATAGCTAAGTTTATTTTGTAACAACACATTTTTATGTACCTTTATCCAGTTTTATGTACTTTTTCATATTTTATGTACCAGGAGTACATAATAGCTCTCTCCTATTATTTACTGAGGTATATTCACATTTTTTGGTATAAAATGAAAGAACAAGATTTTGTATTTTAATAATGCTTGTACAACCGACAGACGTAATACCCGGAGATAAATAAAAGGAAGGAAGATTCGGATAGTTTTTTTACATTTACCATCAGGCGCGAGAGAGACAGACGGTCAAAAATTTGAGGGCAGGGCCTTAGTCATCGTAGTGAGTGTGAATGTTAAAACGTATAACCGGCTGGTCCATTTTTATGAAAATGGATTTGACTGCTCACGAAGCCAAACACAAATACAAACTCTGTATCATATGTAATAAGGTTGTCAGAAAAGAACACTTCAAATACCACTTTAATATTCATTTAAATCCCTATATGTATAAAATATAAAAAGAT